TCTCCTCACTATTGGCTGTGCGGGCTAGGAATTATGGGAGCTGCAGTTCAGCAACATCTGGAGGGTTGCATTTTGCCCACCCCTGGCATAGTGAGTTACCTAGCGTGAGGCCATTGCTGAAAGATTTAAATCAAGAATGTCCCAGGTGCCATCTAATTTTTTTAGACTCTTTAAATAAAAAAAAAACCCACTTTACATCTTCTTGATCCCCTCCTTCCCTTAATGCAGTACAATAACTGTATTGAAATGAGGGTGAGAGAATCTTTCAAAATAGTAATGTAGTATTTTATAAAGCTATCTTATTGTGTGCATGAACATAATAACCTTATATTATAGGATTATATATCAAGGAAATAAGTACACAGATGAATGGATTGAGTACAGATACAGTCATGCTAAATTAGTTAACACCAACGTAACACCAAATTAGTTAACACTTGATTTCAGTGTGTCTACTTCAGTGGTTCCCAACCTTGGGTAACCCAGGTCTTCCTGGCCTGCCGTTCACAAAAGCCTTCACCACCAGCTGTGCTTGCTGGGACAAAAGTCTTCACCACCAGCTGTGTCTGCTGGGGTTTCTCAGAGTTGCAGTCCAGTAACACCTGGGTTGCCCCAAGTTGGGATCCACTGGTCTACTTTAATCAGGTGCAAGTCCAAATCATTGAGGTGTTTGAATTCCAGGGCTACTTTTATTGGAGGCTCATCTGCAAGCTTAGTGATTTCACCAGAAGCATGAGTAGAGATGGGAGTATTCATATATGAATACAAATAACCCCCAACAGGTGGAAGTAATAAGGATATGGCCCCATGGGGCCAGACTCACCATTTTGCCACTGACACAAGGTCAGCGGAGCCTTCCTATCGCGCTGTTGTCCACAATAGATTAGCCACTCCTGGCAGGAGGCAGGATGCCAAACCTCTTTGCCAGGTTGCAGAGTGGCTAATTCATTGCAGACAACAGCATGATAGGAAGGCTCCACAGAGCTCACGTCAGCAATGGAATGGTTAGTGGACAGTCCAGACCCATAAAGATAACCCTCTCTATTTCCACCTGTGGGGGGATATTTGTATACAAATACCCCCATCTCTAGCCTAGAGCTTTCCTGGCATCCCTCATCAGGGGAAGGGGAATGATATAAACCTTGAGAAGTGAAGCCCAAATTCTGAAGCAAGCTAGGCCAATGATTGCGAGGGAAGGCAAATGATGCACGTCTTCATTTCAAAACCCCTAGTATGAACTATCACTAGCTCAATTGGTTACATTGTGTAGTGCTTCTGTAAACTTAATTTATTAGCAAAAAAATAAATTATGTCGGCTCTATAGAGTTACCAGACTAGCTCCCAGGAAAAATGCAGATGAACTTTGTGTACTACAATTCTGGCATTATCTCCCAGGATCATCTGAATCTGCACATGTCTATATGATTATATCACACTGTGTGCCAATAACTTTCATGTTGGCGTTTGATGATAATGCATCCCCATGTCCTAACTGGAGAAAGTCTATATTTGCTTTTCAATTGATTGAGCCCCTGATGTCTTTAAAGGCAGCATTTGCAGGGTTAGAGTCACATCTTTTCACAAAGCCAAAAGCAAACATGGAATTGACATGGAATATTCTAATATTTATATTGATCAAAAATCTGAACATTTGTATGGATCTATGAGGATCCATGTTTTTGTTCAAACACTGAGGCATCCAAGAGAAGTTTAGACAACCACCTGGCAGATGTCCTTTGATTTGTATTCCTACACTGAGCAGGGGGTTGGAACCGATGGCCTTATAGGCCCCTTCCAACTTCCTGATTCTATGATTTCTGTGCTATAGCATTTGGGCACAGATGGGACTTCTAACTGGACAGTGGTTTGGGGATGATCCTACATAAAAATCATGTGGATCCATGAGGATCAGTGCTTTGGATTGGTTTGTGTTTGTTTTTTTAAATTTCACTACTGCAAAGTCACGCACCAAAGGACTCATGGTTTCTATAGTGTTGTCTGTGGGTACAGATAGGATCTATGATCTGATGATGGTGTAGAGAGGATTCCATCTAAAAATCATATGAAATCATGTGGCTCCATGCCACAGATCCATGTTTTTGCAATGTCATACACTGAAGGATCCATGATTTCTGTGGTGTAGTCTGTGAGCATTGATGGAACCTATAATTGATGGTGATTTAGCAAGGATCTCTTATAAAATTCATATGAAATCATTAGGATCCATTCCTGATTTCATGAATCTGCCTTTTACTTTCTTCCCTAGCTAAGGGTCTTCTTATAGCTGGTAGCTGCAAGAGTGGAACCACCAGCTGAGCTGCCCCGGATATGGCTCCTATAGACAACTACTCCCCAAGAGTGGACTTGGAGCTCTGTGGTTAGCTGCCTGACCTGACAATCAGTCCTACACAAAACTTTCTCTAGGTCCACCCCAGTGTTGCCGAGGGAATTGACTGACTGATGCCAGGCTATCTGGCCAGGGATATTTGCACTATTGCACACAAAAACAAAGTATATGAATCACCAACACCAAGAATAGTTAATTTTGTTTCACTCTGGACAGGCACATTTTCCCGAATCAGCATGAAATCAACCATGAAATGACCCAGCTCCTGGGGTTTTTTGCTTCATAGTTCATTTCATGTCAATCTCTAATACATTGGAAATACATTGTTTCCTTTGTGGTAGAAGGGACCTTGTTTCATATCTGAACTAGGATGTCATAATTGGACACAATCAGGGAGGTAACCTGAGTTTCTTGAGCTTCTTACATCTAGCTGATGCCTATTAGAGAATTATGAAATTTTGCCTCCCTCCGTGAAAACGTGTGCATGTGTGTGTGAGGAAACCCTCAAAATTTATGTGCATATTTTCATTTGTATTTTTAAAAGGTGAACATTTTTGAAAGGCATACATTTCCTTCCATGACTAAAGTGTTTCCACACACTTCATGCACATTTTTAAAGGGTATACATTTTATTAATGTATTTCAGTTACTGAAATAGTATCCCAAACTCAGAAATGTGTGGCTTTCGGATCACAGGCTGTGTTAGTCTGGGTTTCTGTTTGGTTCAAATTCCATGTGTTCAGGGGTTGCAAATTGGCAAATTCCAGTCAAAACTGAACTGAACAGGATTTCTCATCTATCCCTAATCACAACAGTTACTATTTGTCCTCTACCCCTGCATTCCTCGTCTTCCATCTAATCTTAAATCACTAAGTTTCAGCAGAGAAAACTCTGCTTCAAAATACTAGTGGTCTTTTGACTAGATTAATTCTGTGCCAAGTTCAGAACATGGTTTCTCATATAAGAACATTCATGGTGGCTGCTTTGAAAATTTTAGCTTCCTTTCTATGTCTTGTGAGCCTCATGACACAATGGTTAAACTGCTGTACTGCAGCCTAAACTGTGCTCATGACCTGGGGTTCAATCCCAGGTAGCCGGCTCAAGGTTGGCTCAGCCTTCTATCCTTCTGAGGTCAGTAAAATGAGTACCCAGCTCGCTGGGGGGGGGGGCAATTTGTGTGACGTTCCATCTAGTGTTCCCTGTTTGTTTCCCCCAAACCAAGGTTCACTCTGGCGACGTTTTCTCCTTCATTCACTGCCACCAGCGGATATTCCTTATCAACACTTGCCCAATATTTGAATCAGACACTTGCTGCCAGCATAACTTGTTTATTTAGATTGGATTTAAATCACAGATGTTCTTTTTAATCATTACGTAGAACCACTCATTAAAACTTCTTATCTTTGGTTAGACATTCAATCCTTCCTTTGTTTTATTGATTTATTCACTTTAACCAACTTATAAATAATATCAGTGCTTAAAGCACCATCAGGCGGTATATAAGCAGCACGCTTTGCTTTTGTTGCTTTTTTGTAGTTACATATCATAACGTTGCTTTTGACTTATGACAACCATAATAGGGTTTTCAGGGTATGTGAGATGGTCAAAGTTTTTCCATCGCCACCCCACAGTGAGTTTCCATGGTCAAGAAGGGACTTGAACTAATGTCCTATTTTAACACCTTGTCCACTACCTACATTGGCTCTTCCCTTCTGTACCTCAAAGTATAAGCTAAAATAACTGAAGAAAACACTGTAAAACGAAATAAGCAAAGCCTCTGATGAAATAGCATCCAAACAACAGCTGACAGAAAACTTCTCATGTCATTGCAACACCTTTTTGATAGTCACTTACCACATCCAGCTATCCATCAAAAACCCCTCTTTGACTCTTACATATCTATTTACACTAGTGGAGGAGTCTGCTCTGATGATACTCACTCCCTGTTCCATGAACATTCCTTCTATCTGAAGAAGTCTCAGGCTTACAGTAATCAGGGATAAATAAAACAAGTGGAATGGAATGAAAGAATAGGGAAGCATTAAAAGACTGCATACTTTAGACCTTTGCATAAAGGAGAATGTAAATCCACAGCCCACAAAAGTATAAGAAAGCCAGTCTTGCCTCATATACAAGAGTGCCATATTTAACAGGATGCCCTGGTTCAATTTGCAAATCAACTGACATATTGACTTGCTTTGGGCAGGTCAACATCTCTTGCACCTAATACATCTCTCGGTATACTTTGAGGATGAATCACTGCTGTGGGACATAGGAGCAAAATACACCCGTGATAAATAAGACACACAGCAATGTGTGCATGTGGAGCCAGCAGGGCAAATAAATCAACTAAATGGTAGAGAGGAATGTAAAGCAACTGAGGAATCTCTTCTGACTCTCAAGTGTAGCAATCAACCTGACCTCAGCAAAAACAAACCAAAGCATGAAACATACCTATTAAGTTCCTTGGCAGGCACTATTAATGCCCCTATCAAGTTCCATTCTGTTCCTTTGAAGATGTTAAGATGGCGTATCCTCAGCACAAAACTCTTCATAGAACTGTTAAGCTTCTTAAACCCACTTCTTTTCATAACCATAAGAAGGGATTTTCTGTATTCACTTAGCTGATCTGCATTTTGGTTTTGCTTTATAGCTTCCTCCAGCAAGACGACTTATGTCAGCTACAGCAATCACGCAAACTGAGCGGGGAAACCGAACATATCTGAAGACTTGCAGTATGTGAACTTAAGAACCATGATGACTACAATGTCATAAGAACTCAGCCTTTGCGGCATCTCTAGCAAACAGTCTAAATATGTAAAGGACAACGATTAACTATGTGCCCAAGACAGGAGGGGCAGGTGGGTTGGGAGAGAAATGACCCAGAATTATATTATATGACTTCATGTCAAATGTCCAAACTGTTTACTCATGAAAGAAGGTGAATCACGAAAGGAAAACAAAATGTTAGCTTGTGAAAAAAAATGCTGTTGAAATAAAAAACATGTCTGATGTTATACTTGTAAGTACTTTTTTGTGATTGTGAGAAATTTCCATTCCTGTTCCACACTTGTTCAACTTGTATAAGAAGATGAAGTTTGTTCCTTGTGATGGCTGACTGAATTGAAGCCCTGCGTTGTGCTAATGATAAATGCAATGGTTGACGCATGCAAATTTTTATACAAAGTAATTTATTTCTATTAATAAAGGAATGTTTTGCAAATGCTGAGACTTGTTTCGTTGCCATTTTGACGGATGTGTCTGTATGCCTGGTACAATTTTTCGGAATCTTTTTAGAAAAACCCAGGAAACTAACAATGACCATGAAATTGCAGATGTAAATTGAGCAAATACAAGTATGACTGCTATGATGGAAAGTATCCAGTAGGACCCTGATTTGTACCTGACATTCCACTTATCCATAGTTTGTCACAGCCCTATATACAACACTGAAGAGCAGCTCCTTGTGGCCTTTGTCCCAGTCCCTTATATCTTGTATATAGGGCTTCCTCACAGCAATGGTTTCAGGCATCCACAGTAGATCCTGGAACTGATTTCCTGCAGATATGGGAGTCCTGTTGTATTCTGCATTTAAAATATATTGTGCAAAATACAACGTATTATAGATTTTCCCCCTAAAATATAAGAGGTGTGCATGTAAAAAAGAAAACTTGTTTAAAAAAAAGAAATGTGAAAAATGGGGAGGCTTTTTTTCTATTTTCATGCCCAGTGGTGAGAAAGCTTTTTAAGTGTTCCATACTTACCTGCAAGAGTAAAATAAATGAAGATGTTCATACCTATCATCTTCATGAATATTTCTGTCTGGACCCATTTTGAAAGTCTGTTTATATAATCATCCTTCCTAGGCAATTGCAGCAGCTTGGAAAAAAATGTTTCTGGTAAGAAAAAAAAAGAGAAAAGAACATTGATCACTTCCTAATTGTAAATGTATTCATTGTTTCTGCTGGAGGAGGGAGCTATTTTCTCTCCCACCCCATATCACCTTATCCCCCACCATTAGAAAGAAAGATCCAATGGATAGAACCTTTTTGTATCCCAAAATAAAATAGCAATTGGATTCTTTAAAAATATTTTTTTTCCATAGCACAGTTAAAGATCTATTTCAGTGTGAAGGGAAAAGAAGGAAGGAGGAGAAGGTAAGTTCCAACAGAGTCTTTATTAATTACATTTCAAAATTTTCTGTCATTTGCCTCATTTCTAGTCTGGGGAATTGATATTACTTGCTATTCTTACACAAAATCCCATCATTTTTAAAATAACCTTCCCAAGTTTGTTAGGTTTCTCTCTCTCTGTTCCAGAGCCTTTCCTGGTTCATGAGGCTGTGTTGAAACCCTGTGTGACCAGGAAGACTTGTACCATTTAAGCTTATCCTTCATTGATCCTAAGAAAGCATTAACCATGTGCTGAAGATTTCCTTTAAACTAAAGACACACACTTGCAAGGATGTTTCCATTTATTGCTGTTGTTGTTGTTGTTTAGTTGTTAAGTCGTGTCTGACTCTTCATGACCCCATGGACCAGAGCAGGCCAGGCCCTCCTGTCTTCCACTGCCTCCTGGAGGTCCATTTATATAATGAATCAAAAAGAAAGAAAGTGAAACAAAGAAAAAACTAGGCATACAACATGCATATAGTGGCATTGGCACCAGGATTCAAACAGGTTCCTGATGCCAAATGTTAGTACAAACAGGAAACGTTACATTACCTAGGTGTGGGTGCTGTGTGCTTGTAAGATTCTGACCTAAAAAGCTCCACTAGAGAATGGGTATCTCTTTGTGCCATGCTATTGAGACTGTGGGGTACAGCACTGGTCATCAGTTTAGGAAGAGGGAGAAGGCAAGTTAAGTCATAGCCTATTCATTCCACTGATTTCAGGGGACATAACTGAATGACTTAATATTGTAGAATTGCTTGTGAAGACAGAGCCTGATTTACATCATTCTTGTGTAATCCTTAATTCTGTTGTTGACTTTTAGTGGAATCAGGGATAACTAATGTTAACTAGATTATAGCAACTGTCTTTCAGGCAGCTTTATATAGATATATTACTAATGTATGACTTAATGTTGCATAAATGAGCCATGGGTACAAACCACGAAGAAGGAGTTAGCCACTTACTGTATCCTAACCACTGGCAACCCATCTCTGTATAATAACTGCAAACCTGTGTATTGATTGGGGAAGCCCAGTAATCGAAGATGGTACTGCAGGCATGAAACACAGGGGCACATTTACATTAATTAAAGTATATTTTAAAAAGTAAACTTGAATGCCCCACTCTGTACACGTGCCAGATCTCAGGTACCTAGGTTTCATGGTCTTGAATATATGCACAATTCTGGAAAACAAATAATAACACTTCTTGTCTGTTATTATGGATAATAGTTATTAAAATACAAATGTGTTTCTGATATACCACCCTGCCAGCCCTACTAAAAGATAGCTTAGAAACCTTTCAGCTAAATAACCATAAGTAAAAGGCACTATTGAATTCAGTGAGACTGAATCACAGCTAAGGGTTTTTTTTAAAGACCACATTGAAAAATGGATATAAAAGTGACTATCACAATTATCCTTGTTAGAAATATCTTTGTTTATATTTCTCATCTTCTGCTCAGTGCTAGAGAATATAAAATGGCCACTACTTTCACCACAGCTTGGGAATATAACAGAAAACAAAGAGTTCCAAATTCCTATTCAGATTTCCTGATTCATCAGAGCGAACAATAGAGAAATTAGACTTTTTTTAAAGGGTTGACATTAATAAGAGGGTGACAAAACACCCAAGAGCTGTACATTTGGAAAGGGAGGTATAAATCCAACCTAGAAGTCTTAGTTTCTGAAACAGACCTAATAGTAAAGCCCTAAAAATCTGTAAAGACAAGATAACAAATCAATTCAGTAAGAAAGAATAGAGTGGAGTTACAGCTTGGAAGTCTATGAGGTTACCTTCCTCCATGATACAGGATTAAGATCAAGACGATACAGGATAGCTTTGATTGGAATAGAGGTCATCAAGGTGAAAGGATCTACTTGAACACTCTTTTTTGCCATCTATAAAATGAATGATGAGTGCACCAAGACACTTATTTTCAAGGGACTTCATCTCACTTTTGGTCTGACATACAACAATACCCTGCTATTTTGCTAAACAAGCCTGTCTTAAGCAGATACACAAAGTACCAGAAGCTCCCAGAAACTTAAGACAGAACAACAACCAGTCACAATATAACTATTTATCAAAATTATTGTACACATATATTTAATAGCTCAATGAATTATTGTAGCTGTACCATTAGATAATACAAACACAGAATTGCAATCTCTCTGACGTTTAGAATAGAAGCTTTTTAGTTATGCAGTTGAAACCTGTTCCTTATGTATTTCTCGTATTATACAGTCAAGGTAAGGGGTAAGGTAAAAGGCAATTAATTAATTTATTTTACTATATGTCACCTCATAGTAGACTCAAGGTGGCTCAGAGATTAAAGACCACAAGATATTCTGTCAGTCAGGTCAGGCATTCCATTTGTCTCTGGGTGGTGTACAGAAAGTAAAGGGAAAATCAGAAAAAAATACAGTTTTCACAGTCCAATGATGTCGACAGGACTCTTGGACAGGTGAAGGCTACCACTCATCTGCTGAACCCTTGGCCTTCTTAGCTTATAAAAGAGAGGGCCTGGCCAAGTGGGTCTGAGGGGCGATGAATGCCTTCTTGCAGCACAGTAGGATCCCAGCTTGCTTAAAGGAGGCAGTAGTAAAACCATTACTGAAAAATTCAAAAACATTCCCCCTCCGTGCCCCCTTCCTGTCTCTTCCCACTTCCGGGAGGAAGGTTTCAGGTTTTGTCTTCTGCTTTTTTGTTTTTGTAAGTGATGCAGTGGATCAGTGTGGCCCTAAGCAGTATGGCACCATCCCTCCATTGAGTAGCAGAGGAAGGAAGTTTGTTTTTCTCTTTTAAATATGCATTACGTTGCTGTGTCAAAGATGCCCCTCCTTGACCCCTCTTGCCTCCTCCCACTTTCAGAAGGAAGTTTTCTATTTTTCTTTTCTTTTTTGCAATTTTCTTTTATCCAAATAAAAAACTCATCGGTGTTGTCATAGTATAGTTTTTAAAAATTACTTCCTTTGCCCCTCCACAGAGCAGAAGTGTTTAATTTCCAAAGTAACTAAGCTCTCTTCTTAAGTCACTTCACAATTGACAGTTGTGTATAGCAAGTTGCATCCAAGTGAGAGTAACCAAGCAAGAATTTCAAGGTGATGTGAGATATTTAAAAAGTGCCCTGACCAGTGTCACCCACAGTGAGTTTGCATGAACCCAGCTCTCTTGCAACCCAGTCCATCACACTATCTATTACGCCACATTGGCTCAGATTAAATGAAATCTATTGAAAGAATATATTAGGGTGAGGGTGGGGGAAGCAAGATTTATTTGTGAGATGGTGTAATGTAGTGTCTGATTTAACAAGCTGATATTCATGCCTTAATTAGCCTCTCCTTTTTAAACCTTAGTTATTTAAAAAAGAAGAACCAACAGTTTCTTAAATTATCTTTATTGACCCAAGCACAAAAACAGAACTTTGTCTTAATTTTCTAATTTGTAAACGTATTACATCAGAATGCATTCACCTTGTTTATATGTCTTTAATTTGCAAGCTGGATGAGAAAATAGCAGACGCTATATGGTAGGCACCCGCCAAATGTCTTTTTATTGTGTTCTATTATTGTGAGCCAATTTCCAAATACACATATATGACAGGCTGATTTCAGTATCAAGTTGGACATTAAGTTGGAAAGATTAGTTGGTGTGCCAGTGTATCCGTGAATAAGATGCACACGAAGGGGGGGAAGATTAAGGACAACAACTGTGGATCTGCATATATTAGCTTCTCCAGAACTGAATGTGGCAAAATGTAATCATAGCCCAGCATGAATGGTGTTTCCTGAAGCTGAGCTCAGAACTCACAAAACCTAGTTCTTAGATTTGTGGTTGCTTTGCCTCCAGTGATACCAGAGCAGAATCAAACTAGATTTTAGTATAAATAAACCTTAGCAGAGAAAACACACTGCACACAAAAGACCAGCTAACACCTATCAATCACAGTAACAGATCATGTCTACCCCTTAACACAACAATACACCTACAACAAAAAGCACACTGAT